ACTTGATTAATTATTGTAGCATTTGTATCATTTACCTTGGCTTGGTACTTTTTGAATAGAGAGAAAGATTTTACTAAAATCGCTTTACAAGCTTGGAGTATCACGGTCTGTGGTAATATAAATCGCATTCCAGAATCTTCAATGTTAAAATTTTTGATTATGAGTTACATTATTTATGCCATACACATACAAACAGCGTACATTTCCAATTTAACACAAGTGCTGATTAACCCACCAAAAGAATTGCCAATTGACAACTGGTTCGATCTACTGAACTCCAGTTACGATCTGCTTTTGACCGAGGAAACGGGATATGAGTGGTTACTATTTATGAGTAAAGAAACCGAAAAGACAATATCGGAAAGAGCAAAAAGATTTCGCGGATGCTATTGTTATCATTTAAACAACATCGATCTCCGTGAGTTATTTACAAAATTTGCTAAATTTGGAAATTTTTGTATGCCCATATCAATGAACAATTTGGAAATTTTTCAACTGGAGTTGAGGTTACCTACACCTAATTACTTTATAGATACGAAAGTGTCGCCCGTCAGGTGGGTCGTATTTGCCAACGTACATCATTATTATTTTACTGACAGCGTGAACGAAATCATTGACCGGCTGTCTGTAAGTGGTCTATACCAAAAGCTAGATATGGACAGGAAATTTCACGAAGCGAATGAAAAGAGGAAATTTATTACTGAGAGTGAAGTGATAGCCCTTTCTTTTGAGCACCTCAGTGGGGTTTTTATAATTTATGGTTTTTGTATGGGGATATCTCTTGTAGTGTTCATTGGGGAACTAGTTATTCATTTTTGCAGAAAGTAATGCATGTGATTTATCCTATTCCTACCCCAGGTTGGTGCACCTCTAAATGGTGTGCTTAAAAATTATTATGCAAAAGAAATTAGACATCTCTGTATTTTCCACTATGGGAAGGGAATAACTCATTTTTTCAATTAAGGTGAATGGACCATTGTATACGCTTTCTTTGTCCGAGGCTGTACATGTTTATAAAGCCGGCCATACACGGTCCAACGCCGTTGTACAACAATGTCGGATGGAATTGTCGTACGAAAATCGTGAAAACTGAATACAACCATACACGATCCAACAACGTCGTACGATAGAGTTGGATGTGATTTTTTTTAAAAGATCGTTCACACTGTACTCAACAGCACTAACCTTCTATTTATACTCTAACTGACTGCATTAAGAATATTAAGATTAACTTAATATGATAATAATAAAGGTTTTTAATTTCGCTGTGTACACGGATTCTGTCTGACCGACTTGATTGTAAGCGCGCATACACGATCCAATTTCGTCCAACTGCGTCGCATACAACTCGATTGTACTGCAGCACTCAGACAAGTTTGATATTCATTCTCATCCAACCAACTTAGTCGGATGTGCCCATACACAATCAAAAATCGTACAACTTAGTCGAATTCGACAAGATCGTACGACGGCGTTGGACCGTGTATGGCCGGCTTAACATACCTATTTGCATTGCATTGCTTCGATGTGCAAAAAGCTAATTTTGTACATTTTCGATTACCACTCCCATTTTGGAATCTTACTATTTTTCTGTCCTCCGGCCAAGAACTTCCAAATTTTAAACCACATCATGTTCAAAATTGGTTCACATCTGCCTTACAGATTAGTAAACGGAAAGGTGGTGCATACTTTCGTACAGGTTTCGTTGAATTTTACACAAATTTAAGTAATAGAGGTTAGTGTTACAAGTGTTACAAGTTTTCGTACGTCGTTATGACTTTTTAAATTCTTACAAAAAGTTTAAGAATAATCTCGAAAACACACATAAGTACATTACAGTTAAAACATGCAGAGTTATAGTTTAACGAAGAAAGGAAGTGAGGTTAGGTCATTCAGCTTTATCATCGTGAATTGACGTTTCAAAGTTGATACGTCACTTTTTTTCTTTCATTTTTTATTCAGGGGTAAATACACAAGAGCTTTTTAATCGGAAAATTTTATTTTACACGAAAGTTTTGTTGCAACGGAAAAGACTAGAGATCAAAAGTATGATTTTATCATGTGCTTTTGATCGAGAGTTTTTTCCAGAAAGCAACAAAATTTGAGTGAATTAAAAATAAAACAAGTTAAAAAGTAATCGTAAACGATTTACATAAAGCGCATTTCCACTTGCATTCATTTCCTATTTGTAAGATGCAACTTCTGTTAAAATCGTAAAAATCCGGCCACAAATATGAAAGATAGCGTTGCACATGAGCAATCCATTTTTGACATGCTATTTCAATTTCAGTTTATAAGAAGAATTTCATTTCGATGCTTTTGAAACTAATGTTAGATTTTCCTTTATTCCAAGCACCTATGTATCAAATTTCATTTAAATGCTTCCATAAATAAAAAAGTTGACACTGCGCATGCGCAAAACCAAATTTTGAAACTGGCGTTAGATTTTCCTTTATTCCAAATGCCTATGTATCAAATTTCATTTAAATTCTTCCATAAATAAAAAAGTTGGCACTGCGCATGCGCAAAACCAAATTTTGAAATTGGCGTTTGATTTTCCTTTATCCCAAGTGCCTATGTATCAAATTTTGTTTAAATTCTTCCATAAATAAAAAAGTTGGCACTGCGCATGCGCAAAACCAAATTTTGAAATTGGCGTTTGATTTTCCTTTATTTCAAGTGCCTATGTATCAAATTTCATTCAAATACTTTTATAAGTAAAAAAAGTTTGCAATTCGGTTTATAAATGGTCGAGATGCGAAAAGGGCACTGTGAATTTTGAATCGATTCGACTCAACTTTTGGCATTGCGTATTATATGGCTAAGGCTATGCCCATGCCCCATATTGAATTTAATGCAATTCAGTTCATAACTAACGGAGATGTAAAAGCGATCGGACATTTCTAAACAAAATTATCGTTCACACGGACAGATAGAGGGACAGACAGGCAAAGGAACAGACGGACAGACCAACAGACAGACGACAGACAACAGTACAAAATTATAAATGATCTCTAGGATGGTTAATAAACGGCAAAAGTGGAAAATCATGGAACGGCTCATAAGATAAAGAACTAGTAGCGTCTCATAGAACGAGCGGAAGGACGGACGGACGGAGAAAGTGACCACAATAGCGCATTTTTTTTATTTTTGTGGAAATGCGCTAAAAATTCGCTAGTGGTGAAAATTGTACAACTATAACTTATAAGGCATATTATTCGTGATCTACACTTTACAGGGTGCCTTCGGGATCTCAGCTAAAATTGTCAAAGTTATCGAGAATTTTATGATGATTTATTTTCCCTTTCGATATTTCTTGTAGTTCTACAAATAGTGAAGTTCTGACCAAAACAAATGCATAATTTTCTCTCGACTTTCTGATGATGGCGCAAAAATAAAATTGTTACCAGTGTATGAGACCATGGGTTTCAAGTAAATCACAACTTCCTCATTTATTATGGACGCCATATTGGATTTTGACATCACTCGATAGAGAAAAAATTACAAAACAAGCGATACTAAACACTTACGGTCGATATTATACGAGTAGTAATGGTTGTCAGTTAACAATGTGATTGGAATGGAGTTAAAAAATAGCAAGCGGGGCAACCACTTGTTGGCACAAGGCTGTGAGGTTTGCCGTTTGCACGAGGCCTACGATACTTACAGGCCGGAGCGCTCGAAAAAGTCACGTGACATTAGGAGTCATATGAAATACATTACGACTTATAGTTACAAGTGTAAAATTATGGAACATGAAAAAAACGGCTTGTTGGTTTTTTTACAATAACTTTTTTAGCAATAAACGCAGAAAAAATTCCTTCCTTGGTGCAAGCCTCGACACCATAACGAACCAAATAGCGAAAAAAGTAGAACAATAGCTCTTAAGATAAAGAACTAGTAGCGTCGCAAAACGAGCGGACGGACGGACGGACGCACAAAGTGGCCACAATAGCGCATTTTTTTTATTTTTGTGGAAATGCGCTAAAAATTATCCGGATTTAAAAGCAAGATCGAGTGTATTTTAGGGAATAATAAAAAGTTACCTAGCGTTTAATCCGATAACAAATCATGTGATTGGTTAGAATTTGAAACAATCACCGTATAATATTAATGGAGTGTATTAATCGCATCTAAAATTTAGTCGTTAAAAAATCAAGTGCACTGCAAAATTATTATCCAAGTTTAAAGAGCAGTGCCTTATTCTCACTTTTGTTATTTGACGAACATTAAATTTGTTCAGGGGTAGATTAAGCTTAGCTATAGGTTCGAAGTTTCATTTTAGATATAAGAATATATTGTAATTTGTTTAAATAATACGTCACACACAAGTACATTTTTAGTGTCATGTTGGTTTGGGCAAGCCGAGTGATTTTTAAACTAAAGCAAATAAATTCCGTGTTTAAGTACAAAGTAGTTGTTTGGATCTTTTGAAGTCATTTTCAGTGACCAATAATACTTAGGGTGACAGTCTTATATTTATTTTGACAAGTAGGTAGTAGCCGTTAAGTTCTCCGCAAAGACAATACTACCCCTTTGATCTTGTTCTACGTGACACTTTTTAGCGCATTTTTGAAAAAAATACGCTATTATATTCGTTATGGCTGGCTGGCCGGCTGTCCGGCTGAGATCTCAGCAACTACAATAGCTAGAGACTTGAAATTTTCACTAAAAGCTTTCTGCTATAGTGTAAATGTGCAGGCTCTAGGCTATTTTGAGTTTTTTAAGAAAATAATTTCGATATGGTTTTCGGAGGTGCTATAACTTTACCGTTAGATTGCGCTACCAGTATAACAACTTAATTATTTACTTTGTGATTTGTTTTACAAAATGAAGACGTACCCTCTATTGTAATTAAATAAAATTAATTATTTAACGCAACCAAAATTACTCGTGAGATCGATAATAATAATTCGCTAATAAAATACTGATCTGTATTACCAAAAATGCGCCTTTGATCATGCATCTGCTGATTTACAACTTGTTTGTTCTTTTGAGGGTCATAAACTAGGTCATAAAGGTACAGTAAAACCACTGTACCTTAGAAAAAGTATGCTTTGCGCAGTTAATATAGAAGGCATGGGAAGGGATTGTACACTCCCAGTAAGAAGTAGTTCGTTTTTAGGCTCAGTGCGCTATTGATTATTACTCAGTGAAAGTCATTGAGTAATGTGTCATTAACTAGTAATAAATAATCGATAACTTTCTTAATTTTATTGACATTAATACCGTGAGTAATGTGCAAATACTACTTCTGTTCTGGTTGTAGTTTTCTGTTCCGAATGTACATTACAGCCGAACCTGGTAAGAAACGCCGATCAAGTGCGGACGAATCCGAACATGCATGCGCAAATTTCCTAAGGTTACGATGGTTTTACTGTACCTACTAGGAATTCAGGTAAATCCACGTTTCCTCCGTTTTATTCCGTCTAGGCACTGTTTAATTTTTAGAAGATACTGCCTTCTTCCAGAAACGATTCTCGGGCTGCCCATAACGTAAATTAAGTACCTACGTGATGTGTTTTAATATCTATTTATGTCAAATTTGTAACGAAGCAGCTAGTTTCCACCTGGTTTTGGGACCACCGTGTATATAACCGCCCGGTATCACTTCGTTACGAGTGTTGAACCCAAATAAGTGTTTGTGCTGGGAATTGAAGATGCAAATTAGAGGTAATAGACATAACTTCTAAAGTTCTGTTTTAGCCGCCGTCGCCGTGGACGTCCTCCGCCGATTGCAAGCGTTTCCGTCCAGATATTGCAGTGATTTCTGCAGCATACGAAAGATCGCTCCGATTCAGACTTCGATTAGAGCAGGAGGAAAAAGGAACATTTGTTGATTTCCGATCCGGTAATGAGTTAATAATTTATTTTAGTTTCTCTACGTTCTGTTTCAAAACGAGCATTAAAAGCTGCAAGGTCGTTCGATTTATTCCATTATCGCAGACCTTTTGCAAGTGACCCAAAATTCCAGGAAATAATGGGTAGTAATGAACTACTGAATTTGGAGAATTCAAACCGGCCATCCGAGTGAGAATAAATTCCGGTAGCTAATCTTATCTGTTGCAGCCAACCTAGTCTGATTGCGTGGAGTCCGGTCTTATTCGAAGCGCGCTTAATTAATTAGAATTTAGATACCGGTTGGCGATTTTTAGGACCTCCGTGGGCCGCACAATTAATTAAAGAAGCTTTAATTAAATTAAGCTTACCGCAACGATACGGCGCCGCCCGATTTGGATTTTCCTACATATTCCCTTCCCAAATTGACGATTGAATAAATAGGTAAGCGCACGAGAGGAGCCATCTTGTTGGTTAGAAGATTTTGTTGCATTAGTACATTCGTTCTTCCGACTGTTTTTACTCCGAGGAGAGATACTACATATCTTAACCGTTAGGATTTATAAAGGGAGGTTTTGTTTCTTCCTCTGTATTTTCCTCATTTAGATAATTAATTACTTGTCGTTCCCGCTTTTGGGAATTTGTTGTCCGTAATTCTGTTGTAGATTACCGTCAGTCTTTACCGTACCTTTTCGAAGCCTTGGATTAACCTATTTCTCCGATTGAAGCACCTGTGGCAGCCGTAACCGTCCCGTGAGTCAGTCCCCCGTCCTCGTCCAGGCGCGAGATTATCGTCTGGTGGCGCCCGAAGCTCCGTCGACCGATCCCTCCGTTTCAAGCACATTTTAATACCGCATTTGTACTTTGTCCAGTAATTAAATATCCAGTAATTAAATATTTGTTCGTGCCTTTTTTGTTTCTTGTATGTGACGGGACGAGAGAGACCGGAAAGATCGTCGCAAATTAATTATTAATATTTACAGGGACTAACAGGTTAACGATAAAGTAAGCATAAAACGGTCCTTAAAATGAGTTCAATAAATTCAATTACATTTATAACACAAATTAAAAGACGGGCGCAGATTTCATTTAGGTACATCACTTCGATATCGATATTAAAACTAAAACACAATTTGATTTACTTATATAACAAACAAAGAGTTTTTAAAGAATTTGCGAACGTGGGCATATAATATACTTCATATCCTTCCTTGTCGTCGGTGACTACTGCTTCATCGAATTTATGAATCTTCGATAACGATTTAGATAGTTAACTAGCTCAGGGACGTGAAAGTTAAATGGCATGAATTGCTTTACAGTTGTTGGTTGGTAGGGCATAAAAATCTTCGCAATTTCCTCGTAACTTAGCATGAGGTTGAGCGCCACCCAGTTTCTTTGAAAACGTCACTCTCTCTGTGTAAGTGGTAAAAATTTTACCTTTAATGTAGTAATTGCGGACGAGGCGGAGGAGGGGGGAGGGGAAACATTTAAGACGCGATAAACATATGAAGTAAATTCATGTTTATTATATACAAACAATTCACCGGAATTGAGTTTTCTTATTTGTTATTGTACAGTGTGATTTTTCCTTTCTTAGTATAATACAATCTGAATAGCGACTATAGTATCAAATTGAAATTATGTCATTTATAGTTATGTAAAGTTTTCTGGTTCTGCGTAGGTAAATGGTAAAACGCGATTTTAAAAAAATGCGTCCTTTGCACCGCAGGGAATGGGGGTATCCCGGCTTCATTTTTTATTTCTGATCTGATCTGTTTAATTTAAAACTTTTAGAGAATAACGAAATTAAAACTTTTGCAACTGCACTATTTTTACATAACCTCCAATTTTCCTAGAAAAACCGGAAAAACTGTGTTTTTGGTTTTTTATTCTTATTTTTGCGAAAAAAGATCGTAGGGGTTTGAAATTTGGAAGAAACATAGCTTGTTTTATGATAAAATATAGGAGATAATTTTTTTGGGTCCGGGTTGAACCGTTTCTGCGATCTCACGATTTCTGAAAAAACACCTCTTTTTCAAGGGATTGAAAAATCTATTTTTTTTCATCGTACAGAGGTGCGCGGGGTAACAAAATTTTCGAGAAGACTATATTTTAATAAACAAAAATAAAAAATATTATTCCTATAGAATATCTTCGAGAAAATCGCCAAAAACTGGAAACAGTTTTAAGATGTAAATACACGGTTTTTGACATGATAAATCAACGTGTTAGATGTTAATAATAGTTATTTACCTAACAAGTTCGGTAAGTTAATTTTCCCGCATGAGCACTTTGTTTGCAGCACGACCGTAGGGAGTGCTGCATTTAGTGCGAATGCGGGAAAATTCTTTCCGAAAGAGTTAGGTACAATATTTTTTGTAACGAATTGCGTAAAAAAAGGTCAAAATTAATCAAGTTTTGTAAATTAGCTTTTTTTTAATCATGAGTTGGTAACACACAGTGGCGTAAATAAGGACTTGGCGGCCTTGGCAGCGCCAAGGGGCGCAGGGCAGGAAAGGGGCGCGGCGTAGTTTTCCTTTTCTCATTATTTTTATTGTCGCTCCCTCCCTCACGCGTCCGCGCTGAATTTTTCCTGAACTGATTTATCAAAATTCAAAATACTGTTTTTATTTTTATTCGTTTTCCCCTGGACCAAATAAATTTTCTGATTCGACGGTTGCGATCGTGAGAAAAAAACGCTTCATCTTTGCTAATATAACCAACTTGGTAGCCAATAATAACAAAGTTAGCAATGGTGCCGACTTCGCCGTGAACACTATATATTTTCACTTCTCTAAAAATTTGTAGCAATAGAAAATCTTTTTGCCAATTTTTGGGGGGGGGGGGGGGGCGTAAAACTTACGTTTGCCAAGGTACGTAGCCCACCTTAGTTACGCCACTGGTAACACAATCATATGTTTGGTTGGTAACATAATTTTGTAACTACCCACTTTTAATAATGCACTGGTCACATTTAAAACTTCCACATCTTTGGTTAATACATATTTTGCCTTTGCAATGAGTGCTACTACTGGTCACGGCATTGCATCGTTTGCACTGAATATCTTGAGTTGCGTAAATACACTCGTTACATTTAAAATCCTTGGAAGCTTTGTGTGTGTTAATATGTGCTTTCTTAAACTGCATATGCGAATAGTTGCAGAATATCACTGGTCACATTTTAAGACGTTTTAACAATAAATTTTACTTTTTCTTGAGTTCCAATTCTGAAAAATAATTTGATTGCGTTATAAGTTCTTGTTTATATATTTACTTAAAACTTAGTGTACGCCTGTTTCCGATTAATCGCACTAAATACCCTCAACCAACGGTTTAATTGATTTTACAGCAGATGACAGTTAACCATGACATGACGTTCGTTGACTTCAATAAGTACTACCAACCGAAGAACGCGCATAACCCCTTCTCTCCAGCGGAAACTAAAAAACACCGCGATGCGGGAAAGTCGTTTTCCCGTGCATCGAGGATGCTTGGAAACATTATCTTTCCATTCAATGAGTACAATAGTATATTACAGTACAAGTGGAGAAACTAAAAGTTTCACTCACGCGTGTGTCGAGATTACACACGAGGCGTAGCCGAGTGTGGAACGACACACAAGTGAGTGATTTAGTTTTCCACGAGTGCTGTATAGCGTTTTGTTCAATCCTGTTACTAATAAAAATTTAAAAAGAAACAGTGTAATAGTTATTTTTTAAGCATCTGAAAAAAACATAGTAGGTAGTTTTCGTTGTTATGGTTCCCATGAGATCTGCGTAAAACAATTGACACAATCTGTCAACAAATTATAATTGTAGCAAAAGTGTGCGCGTTTAGATTTCCAAGAAAATGGAAGATGAAAATAGTGTATTTGTGCCAGATAACATTTTGGAAGAAGCGAATGCAGCGACATTTAATTTATTACCGAAAAAATCCAGACAGATACATCAAGGAGTTGGAAAAATTTCGGTCGTGGATGGAGAACAGAAACGTAAATGTTGTAATTGAAGAAGTAGTGGTTGCTTATTTCAATGGATTGATACAAAAATACGCTGCCCCTTCTTTATGGTCTATATTGTCGATGCTTAAATGCACCCTATTTGTTTTTGAGAAAGCAAGTAAGTTTTAGTTCATTATTAATTTACTGGTTGTAATATATGAAATGTTTTAGGTTTAAAACCTTGTTCGCGATTCTAAAAAGTAATTCTAAGGGTTATCAACCTAAAAAAGCGAAGACATTTGATCAAAGAGAAGTGGAAGTGGAAAAGTTCAAGTCCCTGGTATCAATCAACCAATTTTTAACAATTGTAATGTTAATTTTCATATTTATAAGTAATTTTGTTGCTTTGTATCTATTAGTGATGAATTATGAATAAATAAAAGTTCAGCGTATGTGTATTATGAGTGGGTGAAAATTTTTCACTCACTCTTTTCGCTCACCCGTTGCTATGGAAATAGTTTGAATGGGTAAAACAAACACTTTCACATTTGGTATCTAAGTAAGAAACACTTGTTTTCAATGACAGGATTGAACAAAAAGATTTTTTCGAAATCTGTTTTCTTGCTTCTCTTTAACGTTTGCTAAAATATTCTCTTTTGTTTCCTTATGCTCAACTGTTTTAGTTAAAACATCTTTATTATTTCTTGTTGAATTAGTAACTAATTTTTTTTTTTTAATATTACATAGCCTGGACTATTTTGGAATGCAGTACTTACTTACCTTTTGGAAAAGTGAAAAACTGAATCTGTGATCCATTTGCTTTCGATTTGTTGGAGCTGGTCTTGCATATAGCAACGCTACCATGGTACTATAAGACAAGGTATGCCCATAAAGGAACGCAAATTCGTCAAGTTCGCGCAGATGACGTTTTTATCCCAATGACGTCACAAGAATCACCGCCAAGTTGGAAAATGGCTTAGACATTAACATATTTCATAAATGACGCTTCGTGCACTAAATGTCAGAGCAAAATGTGACATTTTAGACATGGGAGTAGAAAAAAGCACTTTAAATGCTAGAAGATAAAGCTAGTTCCACTTTGTGGTAGAGAGATGTTGAGAGGATAAACCTACTGTGAACAATAACAAAACCCTTCGTGATGTGATCATCAAACGACAAACTAAATTTCCATTGATTATTTAATGTGTATAATACAATAAAGTAACAAATAGTCTATTTACAAAGACACTCTTATAGCGCCCTAACTTTTGCAATAAAAGTAATTAGACTTAAATACTGACGTAAAATTAAACCAAAATTTGGAAGTAAGATTCACATTTAATTGAATACCCAAAATATCACACTTCAAATCGGATAGTAAGATTTATCATTCTACCAAAAACAATTTAAACAAAAATACCCTAATACCACTTGAAACGAATCTTATGTATGATATGTAACAAGACTTTAAATTTTCGCAAAGATGACACATTGACCTAATGTAATAAATTCTTAAAACTTAATAATCGTAACATGGCACACTTTGAAGTACCTAAATTTTATTAGAATAGAACGGTGCTTTTAAAAAATGGAAATTTTTAAACATAAATACATCTTTAAATAACACCAATTCTGATATGCAGTTAATATTGCACTAAATACATCAAATATACATATACGCTGAATATTACGAAAATAGTAATTTTTTCATGGTAACGTTATTGTCGAATACATGGTATAAATTTTGATTAAGTATTACAATGGAACACGACAAATTTAGATATGTTCAATTTTACAGTATTAAGACTAATTTAAATGTGAATTTCAGGCATAACCAATAAACTAATGAGTGGTAATATTGATCACAATGACATGTACGTACTGGACATTGTAGTTAAGGTTTTGAAATACATAGTGCTAACGGTTCGTCTTACTTATACAAAGCATGGTAAAGACGTAGAAAATATGTTTGTATTTAACTACCTACTGTACATACATCTTTATTCATAATTGCCTTGAAATTTCACCCAATCTTGCACGATTAAAACTATGTACAAAAATCGTACATATTCATTCATACACATTCATACCGAGTATGGCTAGTTTAATTAAATAGGAGGGACTGCTGACCCATTGAGTTCATGTTAATAGCGTTTGTCGTCGGAGCACCGGCGAGCATTCCCATTGTACGCGGTTGATACATGGCCGCGTTCGGTCGCATTCCCTAAAAATAATAATTGCACAACTTGGGGAGCTTGTGAGGGGCTTGTTACCATGGGTTGCATCTGTGGAAAGACTGGCTGTTGCAGTGACGGCTGTGGACTCATCTGCTGGTTCATTGGCTTATAACCGGCGCCTGTTGTCGCAGCTAGAGGTTGCGGTGTCCAACTTATGCCCGATTTCTGATTTTTGGGCGAATTCCATTGAACACCCCTAAAACAATTGAAACTTAGGAACAATGGAACACAGCAGTCTTATTTAAAATATAAAAGTGGTTGTGCGATTTTATATAATTGGGTTTTCCGCTAGATTTTGCAATTTCTTATGGATCCTTAGATTTATAAAGTAGGTACACTAAAATATTTGTTCCATAGAAATTTCACAAATTTGAAAACCAGATTATATTTGTCAATGTCGAAAAATGTTAGCAGTATATCCAAATATAACAATTGCGACTCGCCTTTTCGAAAACTTACAAAAAAGAATCGCAATTGTTATGTTGAAATGACAAAAAAAAAACAAAAAAATTCAAAATCACAATTTTATAGTGTTGTATTTGGATAAGGCAGATATTTACATAATCCAATTTTTCAGAAACTCAATACTATTAACATTGAATTTATAACTATCAGAAGCGCAGATCCCATATAACAGTTTGTGACCATATGCTAACTTTCCGCCGCTAGGAGCAGTTCGATCGTTTGAAAGTCCGTGGGCGATCGAAAGTGGAGCGTTACATTGACATTAGATGGCAGCATTACAAACCATTTATTTGACCATTCGAATATTTTCCTTTTTAATCGTTAGATGTCAGGAACTCGGGATGTTTTTTTTGTGTTATCATTGGAATGGTTTTATAAATGGATTGGAATGTTCTAAAAATAGATCCCCTAAGAAGCGTTGCGTAAATTTGTAATGTAATGTAATTAATAATACATTTAGACGAACGAAGCTTGCAGTCCTTGTCCTTGAAGGAATGCAATTTCATACATTCTATTGACATTGAATAATAAATCTGAATATTATTCAATGAATTGATTCTATTCACAGTCAGTACAATAGGCAGGTTCGACATTTTTTATTTTTACTGAAAGCGGGAGATTTTGTTATTAAAAAACGATTTAAAAAAATGTGAAGGCAAAATATTGTCCGCTGTAAGCATTTGAAAACCAACGGTCAGCGCAAAGAGAAAAAACGTACCAACCAACACATTTGCCGCCGCGTTGGCAGAATATACCTACGAATTCACGTGAACAGGAACCGATGTGTTAATCAAATTTCGCGAATAAGCTTTTTTTATAACCTTGCAGCATTGTGCACAAATAAATACAATAAATAAATCCGTCCCAGTTTACGTGAATTCGTATAGGTACCTACTATGAGCTGGGCGATAAATATAAGTCTATTCAGTCCGATAATTATCGATTAATCGTTAATTGATAACTATCGATAAAAATAGTATCGATAACTTTCGATAATAATCGATAAATCGTAACGATAATTTTCGATAATAATCGATAATTGGATAACTGTTTATAATTATCGATAACTTTTTATAATTATCGATAACTTTTGAAAATAATCAATAATGATTGTTAGCTGCTGATAACAATCGAATATTATTGCCACTTGTCGAAATTTGTCTATATCTTATATGTATCGATTAATAGATAAGTAGCGGAAATTATCAAGAGAAAACTATCGATACTTTCTCATAAATCTTATCGATATATATTTTCAATCGATATAATTACATCATCCATACGTACATTCGCTAACATGTTTGTTTTTTTGGTATTGGTATTGCGAGAGATAATTTAAATAAAAAAGGATCTTTTGATGCTGAAGTTTTCTGAAATCAAAGCTGATCAAGTGGACGATAATCCTCCAAAATTAGTACAGAAGTAGGTTGTGAATTCATGAATAATTGTGATCATGGCAACTCCACAATGCACTTACTTGATCGCTTTTGTTTGAAGTAAACTGGTATACCTAAACATTGAAAATTTTATGTCGTTAAAAATTCTCTCGATAATTATCTATCTTCTTAGTTTAGTTGTGAGATTAACCGATAGATTATCGGTAATTATAGATTTATCGATCAATCCTTTAAAATTTTCGATAAATTATCCATTAGTCGACCATTTTTTTAAAATTTATCGACTGACTATCTACTAATCGATAATTATCGATAAGTTATTGATTAATCGATTAACCATTGAGAACAAATTTCAAACGTCAGAATTTAGAAGAAAAGAGATAACGAGTTAACGATTTTTTTATTTGGTATCAAAATTGCCCGGAACATTCGATACCGCAAACCGGCAACTGCCAAACCGGCAATGCACGAACCGGCGCCGCACCAAGCCGGCGGCATGCCAAGCCGGCACTTGTCAAGCCGGCGCTTGTAAGGCCGGCGCTCGGTCATACCGGCGCGTGTAAAGCCGACATATGGGCACTTCGTCGATGCGATCTGCAAATTATGTTTCATACACATTTGGAATGATAACATGGACATGTTGATGTAATTCTCAAATTAACTTTAACTATGATTTTAAAAGTGGCCAAACAAGAGGAATCAGATGAACTAAGTACATATAACTTTTCTGTCGGCATTGACATTGATCGTAACTTTTAATATTTTAATGGTAGATACTCTGCGTTGTATTAATCCAACCCACATAAATAGGAAAGCATTCGGCCTAACGAGCGCCAGCAAAGCATAACGCCGCGCCGGTTGAACGAGCGCCGGTTTGGTATAGCGCCGTCTAGTCGTCGCCGGTTTGGTCATTGCCGGTTAGGGAATCGCCGGTTAGCAGTGTACCGTAGCCAGCCTACTCCGACTTATAAACACGTAATTAATTAATGAGTAGGTATACTTTTGTGAAAAATATTGAATAACATAAACACTGCGGGGTTTAAGCACTGGGCACTCCTCATAAACATTGAAGAAAACACAAAAGACAATCGAATAGCGAAATAAAATAGTGGTAGTTCCATTTGAAAAAGAATAGTTATAGCACTTTGAACAAATGGCATTGAAACAAGTAAAAATATGCAGGATGTTCAATTTAAAAAGTATCGTAAAAATGGAACACCCTGTACCTACATTCAAAAATAATTTCTGTAGATCCGCAGCCACCAATATTTTTTACCAGATATCAGCTATGCAGGAAAAACCGATGACTGTTACAGGACCCTGTATATAGCCAAAAACTATAATATTGAATCAAAAAAATGTTGTGGCCCTTTAAAAACTGAGAAATTTTGTAAATTGTAATTTTTGGCTCTTCCGTTTCAATAGGTTGCCGACTCCTGTTCTAGGTAGTTTAACCGACACACACAAAAATTAAGAATAGATAGGTAGGTACATTTAATTTCTGTTACATTACAGTGATCAAGGATGCCTACGTATTTTTTGCTTTCCTGTTCAAGTGTAATTCAATCTTCCTTAAGGAATGTTAAGTAGGTCAAGATTCATGAAAGGAAGAATGTTTATCTTGCGTCATTCAACATCCTGTGTGCCACATAAATGCCTTATAAATACGTTTCTTGAGTATCTAGAATTCTGTATGCAACAATTACAAATCGAGATAGTGGGTTCATTACAGGTTCCTGTATAATAATTAACAAAGGTAAAAAATTGACATTATTATTCATCTTTCTCGATGGTAGAGACATCTACGTCTTGTAATTTAAACTATTGAAAACAGTCACATATCCTGCCATTTAACCTGCGCTTCTGATAGTTATAAATTCAATGCTATTAAGATCCAATCAAATATACAGAGTGCTTAAAAAAAGGTTGCATATTTCATCCTTTTTTTTAAACACCCTGTATTTTGGTTCTATACTTATACTAAGAGTAAAAAATAAAAGGAGAGAACCTTGCATTAAAAGGGGACTTGACGGAAATGGACAAAAAGGAAGTGATAAAAGTGCGAGAAGAGTGGGGAGAAACGCGTCATTATTGGCAGTGGTGTAATAAAACAAAACTGACCAACACAAAGGAAGTGATATTTTGACGACTTCCGTCGCGTGTTATGCTATTTCCCACCATCGTTATATTCTCTCCTGTTATTTTTTACTCGTAGATACTATACAATACAATTTTAAAAAATTTAAATTTTGTATACCAAGTTTTACTGATTGACCTAAAAACACAAGAAAATGATTTTTAAAAAACTGTTTTTGAAATTTGGAATCCCAACTGGGTCGAAATTCTAGACTCCACGCAGCTTGAATTTAACATTTTCCATAAAATTCATATTTCTGAACGATCCACAAACAAAAAACAAATGAATTAAAATTTTTGAAATTTGTAGGTAAATAACTATTTTTCCAGAGAGGATAGGCGTACCGTGGCACAATTACACTGACCACAATTTAAACAATAGATATTTTTTTAAGTGTCGTGCTTTAATAAGTGACGGATTCAAATTTCTCTTACTATTTGTGGCATACCTAAGTGCACGTAACATCCTTCAAAGTGAATATGCCGCTCTCAGTTTTGCTTATCGTGAGCAGCGCAATTACACTATTCACAAATTAAATGTTTGAGAAGGTTGCTTTAAGCGAACGCGTAAATTACACTGATAGAAAGTTATTTAAAGTAGAGTTGTGTCAAAGAATGACATATATATCTCCTATTTTTTGTTGTGTAATTGCACTGTTCACAATTAAAGACTTTGGAAATGTTACGCGTTAGACGATGATTCTTTAACTTACCCTTATTCTTGGTTGCATAATTGCACTGATCACATTTAAAATTCTTTGCTCTTTAGCTTTAGGTGTAATTACATTGATTGCAAATGGAATTTGTATTTAGTTTTACAGCCGTAAAAACTACAATTTGGCCATTGTAAATAAATAAACTGGCCGTCTTATCCCACCAATAGTAATTACAATGTGCTGATACCAGAGGTCTCACTGTTAATCTGAATCGCGAATAAAATGCAATGAAAAAAATTTGAATTTTTAAAATTTTGAATGTTACTATTGGAAAGTCACCACACAAATTATGATTTTTTAAATTTTGGTTCAAAGAGCGGTAAACTGCGAGAATGAGTTCAGATGTAGGTGCAACATTTTCGGATTTTTTTAATTTTCCGAACCTAATTTTATAATTGCTTCACCATCAGTGAATTCTCGTATACAACAACAAATAACAACAAAAACATTTTTTAGTAATTGGTCAATAGACGTCGTTTAATGTAACCGGTATCCTACTAGTACGGGAGGTAGCGTCCTATTTTTACGGGACATTTTCGCACAATTACTTTTTATTCTGCCTGGTAGTTTTTACTTAGTTAACCCTTAAAACAAGCGTCAGCTGGCGCGACTGCATGGCGTGATGGTATGAGAGGCTAAGAAACACGCAAAAAAAATTGTTTTTCGGACCATTTTCGCAAAGCTGAAAATGGTATATATAATAGTGTACAATGTAAAAAGAGGATAAATAACTGTCAGCTGATATTTAAATGTGGCAAAACCTGTTAGCTAGGCGTCCAAAGTGTAGCGTAGCGTTAGCGCGCGGCGACTTTAAATTTTGATGACCCAGCTAACACATTTTTCCACGTTGTCGTGTCAGCTAACAAGTGGTTTCCTTTTTTTTGTGTCATAAACTGATGAGGTATTCATTTTCATGCATGCTGATGTCATATTATTGGAAAAAAATATGAGTGAAAGAGAATACATGAGTAAAATGGTATCACATACTGTATAATATTATACATAAATTGAAACATTGTATTTTATAATTTGCAACGTGGTTAAGGACATAGAATAAATCAAAAGAGACAAAACAAACTAAAAAAAGGAAACTAATAGGCCTAACCACGGCTGCGGCTGCTTACGGAGAGATTATAGTACGTTTGTGTAAGATTATTTTAGGCGCTACTAACTTTTATTTTCCTATTAGGACAAAACGCAACCAATAACACATTTCTTAGACAATTCTTTAAAAAATGCGTTACAAGAAAACAGACCGGGTCTGCGGGAGTGTGACTGAGACGGACTTATGCGACAGCGTGCGTGTTAATAAAGGCAGGCGTCGCGTCGATTGGTGTTGCCAGGAGCTGAGACGCTCGCGTTACGTTTTTAATAAATATTCAACCTCTTATATTTCTTAAACCGTTGGTCTGATTGAAAAAATGTTTTATTAAAAAAAACTATCTTGATTCATTCGACATATTTTGTATCGCACATGTATATGGTCCGCTTGGCTTGTAACTGAAGCTATTAGTTTCCTTTTTTTGGTTTGTTTTGTCTATTTTGATTTATTATATGTCCTTAACGCACGTTACAAATTATAAAATACAATGTTTCATGTATAATATGTGATACCATTTTACTCATGATTTCTCTTTCAATCATATTTTTCTCCAATAATATGACATCAGCATGCATGGAAATGAGTACCTCATCAGTTTATGACACAAAAAAAAGGAAACCACTTGTTAGCTGACACGACAACGTGGAAAAATGTGTTAGCTGGGATCATCAAAATTTAAAGTCGGCGCGCGCTAACGCTACACTACACTTTGGACGCCCAGCTAACAGGTTTTGCCACATTTAAATATCAGCGGACAGTTATTTATCCTCTTTTTACATTGTACACTATTATATATACCATTTTCAGCTTTGCGAAAATGGTCCGAAAAACAATTTTTTTTACGTCTTTCGCAGTCTCTCGCCATCTTAAGCCACGCTTTTGAACCAGCTGACGCCCCTATCGTTGATAGGTTATGGATCAAAAATCTATAGTAGAAAGATGAACTTTGCGAAAATGGTCCGGTCAAATAGGACGTTACCTCCCGTACTATACCCTTACCCATAATGCAGCACTGTCTGTATGGCTACCTAAATACGTAATTCTCTTCCATTGATTGCATGATGCTATGTAAACATACTTAGTGATAAATCATACACCGATGACGTGCGTGCAAACTTAGAAAAATCCTACACTCCTACTATCCTACGTATCACAATAATTATATACAATAATGCACTTACTTGACAGTTGGCGGTCGTATTGTAAGATTTTCGGCAAGGGAAGCGAGACTGGACTCCAAATCTCCAGTGATTAAGGCACCACCTGACTGCTGACTATTACTATTATTATTGTTGTTGTTATTGACCGACTGCTTCTGAACCATTCGGCCCCCTTGGTTTGACGGCTGTAGCACGCCGCCCAAGCCATCAAACGCTAGAATTAAGACGAATGAATTTCCGTCGATCAAGAACAGGTAAGTAGAAAGGCACACAAAGTACAAAAAGAAAGGAAGCTGTGCAAAACAGAAAGCGGCAATGTTGTACACCAATTACAAATAAAAATCACCTGATAACTGTGAACTAATGGCAGTATTTTGCGTGAATACAGGCAGTCCCTCATATTTGTTGAACACAGACGGGATATTATTGTCTAAGGATACAAGGACAGGATTATTATTATTGTCAGGGTTGATTAGCAATTCGTTAAATCAGATTAGAGGAGGAGGCGGACGAGGCGGTGCGGCGGGTTTTCTCGTTTCGCCCGTATCGCTAACTACGTTGTCTTTCTGGAAATAATTGAGGACATCTTGTATGGGTTTATGATCGGAACCGGTGGGCGAATCGCAACATAGCAGTAGAGGGGGCGTGGGATCATCTACGAGGAAAGGATTGAAGGAAGGTTTCATTTCTTCGGCAGCTTGCGTAAAACAAACACATGTTATTTCCTAGCATTGACGTGGTCCAGTTTCTGTATGTTTAACAGATGAATAATACGGAAATGCCTTGGTGCACGTATGAAAAATGTGCGCGATTAAGAAAGGAAGAATGTACAGCTTAGTAAAGCAAGTCCGTATTATTTCGAGTTCAACAAACGTGCAAGTTTAAATTGCAATCTCTGATAGAAGGCGGTGGTTAGTGAGAATTAGCATAGGTAGATAGTTTACAGCTAGGTAACGCGTTATGCAGTTGCTTACTTTTTGTTTCTGTAGAGCCAAAAACTGATTCAAAACTACTTTCCGATACAAAAGAACCATTCGTTATCACAGGTTGCTTTCCATAATCTGAAACAAAAATTGCACTTTCATTTACACTAACCAGAAACTGAACTAATATTTCCTTAAAAGAGATGTTGTGAACTTCCACAACCAGTGGTTGCGGTTTTCAGAAAGAATTTTTTTTTAAATTTACAAACGTTTTCATAGTGGTTTTTTTTGGTCCACTTTTTAGTGACGTCGCTGAAGTGAGATGACCTTTATTGACGTTGAAATTAAATTATACAAACTTCCAAAAATTCAGTCATACCTTTTTCTCCCAGGAGATTCTGTGAACCTACCTCACCGTAATGAGATAAAACACTGCGAGAAAAACAACAAACACAACAATATACATCAGGTCCAAATAAAAGAGATACTCAATCAGGGCAGCGAACCCACGTTCGTAACTACTCGAAAGCAGAGTGTGATTGATCTCAGTCTGGTATCATCACAGACAAATTTCATTTGAAATTAAGTGCAACAGAGCCGTCCAAAAGAGCTATCGCAACCCGAAGGTAACGGATATCCCGCTTTACAAACATCTCCTTGGAGAAAAACTTAAAAAGCGCCCTCTTGTGGGACGCCTCTCGAGTTCTGCTGACTTACAGGACAAAGATCTTCTCCCCCACTCCATTGTGCAGTCATTTGAACAGGGATTTCCTCTGAGAACTGCAATATTCAAATTAATTTAATGACAGCCAAATATTTATTTGTTTTAAGGCCGCTTTACATACTGCAATTCTTTGTGCAATACAGTTGCAGCAAGTTTAATTGCAAAAATACTGTACATGCAATAATTATTGCACTTTGGTTTTACACGCGGCAATTTTCTTTTTGCAATAGTTTGTTACCAACATTCGCATTTAAAATTGAACTAAAAGCTTTATTCTATTCAAAATTCATCAGGTGTTGTTATAATTCTGAATGCGTTTTGAGTAAAAATGAATAGACACTTTAATCGAAAAAAGGCAGTCGCAGCTTCAATTTGTGTAGTAATAGTAAACAAAGTCTAGTTTCAACGTTTGGGAATTCTAGAACCTGGCGTTGTCAATACTTTCCCCCAAAATATCACGTGCAAGTGCAATAAAAACCGCGCACGACCGCTAACCTGCAATTGCAAGTGAATTGCCAAAATGAATCAGCTGTTTCTCAAACGCGCATGCTTCTGGGCAAGTTTTATTGCGTATTGCATGGTCTTGCATGAAGAATTGCAGTATGTAAAGCGGCCTTTAAGAAGTTATTTTGGTTGCATAAAATTAGGCGCGCTTCAGAAGAAATTTTTCCATTTAAAAGTAGACATAGGGGAAATATGTAATAAGATGTTATTTTGACACGTTTTTTTATTGTTTCAAGCTTGAAACCTGATACTCTACTACATAACCTCTCTTAACACCTTCACATATTTCTTTCCTGTGCAAATTCAGCTAACATCATTACATCAAACCACTTTTCATTGCTTTTATGTTTATGACGCTCGGCCTGAGGATGACCTATTGTGGTCGAAATCGATAGCCTAAGAAAACAAATAAAAAATGTGTCAAAATAACATCTTATTAACTTCATTAATCCACACGTTTCACATTTAACGAGAGATGGAACACTACACCCAACGAATAGACATAGGGAATAACCATACACGTTAATCCCTATGTCTACTTCTTAAAAAATAACATATTATAAACCTATAAATATACTGGTACCATTACCCAAAAACAACACTGACTGAAACTTATGGCACATGATCGTCAATTGTTTGTGTATATCCCCTGTCTAGTGATAGGACCTAAAATGAGTTGCTCAAGCATGTGTCGCTGTAAGGATAGACCAACATAACTAAAATGCAAGAAATGGTGAGAGTCAAATTTAATTCAAATCAAATCAAATATTTTTATTGTCGATTATTTCAAAAGAAATATTGACATCGTCATTTGAATCACAAACATTATGTATACATAGTATATGATATAAATAAGATTTGGACAAGAATTTAGATTAAAAAAAACAAAAAACAAGGTACAAATATCACATATAAAAATCATAATTAAAAACGTTAATATCAAAAACAATCAAATCCAAATTCAAATCAAAGTTGCTCTCTCTTAATCACACGAGAATAGCTCTAGGGACTTCCATTGATTACAAGGAAGGAAAAAAGATATTCAAGAGTCATGAAAAAGTATTTGGCATTTATGCAAAATACCATTTTCATAGGTATAATAAACTTCAAAGGTTGGTAATAAAATATGAACATAATTTGTACTGAAGCACAGGGAGAGGGGGGGGGGGGGGGGTAGAAATATAACATTCAATTTTATTTGACTTCTGGGCCAAGCGAAGGCAGTTCTAGGCTCAGTTCCACAGCCAGGTGCTAATTTGGAGCTCCTTGCGAGACTTACTCAGCTAGCCAACATTTTCGAACAGAGGGGTCCGGTCTGAGAAATTTCTTCTACGTACAGCAAATAAAAACCACCCCGAAGTACGGCGACTTCCTCAACTACATAAGGCCTTACAAATTCAAATTTATGAAACTAACACCCTAACAAATCAACAAGCAAGTTATGCAAAACAATTACCGTACATCCTATGCTTAATACAGCTTATTACAAAGGAAAAAATAAAGGATAGATTTACCTATATTTGTAAATCAAACACATACCACCAATAGCTATCTACGTTTTGCCGCCTGAGCTAAAACTTTGTTACCTTCTCTTTCTCGCTCGAAGAAGAAAATTGCGCATCTACTTGCAAGTATTCATCCTTGTGAAACGCTACGATTGGCGCTAAAACATTTCCAATGGCGTCTTTCCCCTTTAAAGAAAAAAACGGGAATGATAAAATTCAAAAACTGATACTGGAGAATATCTTTAGAAACTTTAAGATCTTTTACTACCCTTCACAACTCCTAAAACCGATAAAAATGCGAACTGAAAAATTAATCAATGTTGCCAAAATTTGTCCAGGAGTTTTTACGATTCCTTGTTACTCTTCAATGATTGAAGAATATAGAAAATATCTCCAAACTCTCAAAGATTCTGATACTCCTTAAGATCCTTAAAGACTGCCAAAGTACTGCCAGTCTTCTAAAGTCAATTTAGGGACTTGTGAAACTTTCACTGCTGATGACCACCCACGGTTCCAAAAACGACTCGAAAACTATTGACCGCTCTGTAAAACCTCTCAAAAGTATAAACAACCCTTCAGGGTTTATAAAATCCTTTTATAACTCTTTTAATATCCTTCATTACAATGTAAATTAGCATAGGTATATGTAGAAAAAGGACACAAAAATTCATCCATTTCCTTCGATTCGCGAAGAGTTGCAGTGCAGCTCATTCGTCCTTCTAGTCTACTTTAGAAACATTCGAATCAACGAGGTCTGCGGAAAAACCACCTTGGGCATAATATCTATAGAAAATCAAATGAGTATCAATACACACGCCCACAAGTGTTTGACGGCCATCTATTGGTTGAAATAACCTCGAAAATAAATTTCATTAATTTGTTGTATATGTGCAGGTTGAGGATTATGGTACATGGCTCAAAAATTAAAGAACCCCTCATCGCAATACTAGTAACACAGAATTTGATTAGCACATTAAAATGCCAAGACTTACTAGTTCCATTTGTAAGCCATGCATTCGTAGGCTGGGGAGTAACTGTAGAAGGATTAGAGGCAAACGTATCCATGAACGGATTTCCGAGCTGCAGAAGATCCTCAGACGCCTTATTTGATGCTTTCGGAGTTGGTGGTTCGCTCTCGAGTAAATTTACTGTGGGCGCCGCTGCCGATAGGTGTATTTGGGCGACTCCAGTCGATGGAGCATCCAAGAATGGATTGTTGTTGTTCGCCGCGTTCGGTGACTGCACCTTCGACTATAACAAGAGCTTAAAATGCTGGATGGAATCGACAACTCATTACCTTAAACTGATTTATTGCAGCTTCCTCTTCCGCAAGCAACTGCTGTTTGATTTGTTCATCGATACCGTTTGTGTGTGAATCTGAGCGACCGTTCGCAACGACTGTTCCAAATGCCGTGCTTGTGGAAGATAAGGCAGACATTCCAGATGCTACATTCTTCTGAGTACTACTTTGATAATGTTTAAACATAAAATACCAGAAAATACACTAAACCTACCCTGAGGATTGGGAAGGAGTGCTTGACGTCGAAGTCTTTTTCCCATCTAAGCTGTTGAGATGTTGCTCCAATGCTTCCAGTAAACTACTTGGTGCTTTCGTTAAATCGGGAATATCTCCCCTATCAATGCCCACATTCTAAAATAAGTTGATGAAACAAAATTAATATGAACTTGGTACCACTAACCTCCGCAACTCGCAAAAATTCAGCCACTCTATCCATGCGTATCAAAAACTTCTTATAAATATCCAAACCATCTTTACACTGTTTTTTATTCATATCGAAATATTTCTCTGGAAAAAATAGTATAGACGTCTGCGGCGAGCGAGGCGAAATATTTACCTAACAAATTAATTATACCATCATTATAACATGCAAATAATCTTATGAGATCCCGAAATAGTAACATAAAACACATATTTATAACACCATTTGTTAAATCGTTCGCGGAACAATCGAATTCGAGTAGTGCATCCAGCTGACTCTGCAGACAGGGCAGTGTTTTCAGTAATTTCTCTGCGTTCATTGTACGTAGAACTCCATCTTCTTTTCTAAAAAAAGAAAATTTAACACTATAAATAAAGACACAATTATGCAAATTATTACTGAAATTACCAATTTTGTTTGAATCTATTCGATTTTCAATTATTACAAAATTGTTGAGAAAATTGATAAAATGTTTGCTTCAAACTTTCTGGGAATTTGCAAATCTTTCTGAGACTTTACAGATGTATCTGGGAATTTACAGATTTTTCTGCGAATTTACAAATTTTGCTGGTAATTAATATAGAGGCTGTTCAACGACAATTGTTATATCTGCAAGTTGTATACAGTACTTAAATTTGAGCTCTGAACATGCCAATCTCCTATGTTCAGTTCTTAAGTATACATGTCAATGCATTGATAGCAGTATAAATAAACTAAACAAATATAGAAAACGAGCTCCTGGGTATGACTATAGCATGTGCAAAACCAAATTTTAAACCTGATGTTAGTTTTGATTTTATTTAAAGTGTATATGTACCTATGAAATTTCATTTAATTGCTTCCATAAGAAAGTTGGCAGTGCATATCCTACTCATTTCCATTTGGAAAATGGCGTTAAATTTGCTTTTATTCCAAGTGGCTATGTATCAAATTTCATTTAAATACCTTCATAAATAAAAAAGTTTGCAATTCTGTTTATAAATGGTCGAGATGCGAAAAGAGCACTGTGAATGTTGATCGATTAGGCTCAATTTTTGGAATTGCATTTTATATGGCTAAAGCTATATGCATATTGAATTTCATGCAATTCGGTTCATAACTCACGGAGATGTCAAAAGGGCCTTCGTTATTTTTTGGGCTACATTACCAATTCACGAACTCCGATCTACAAATTTGATAAAGAATCGACCTTGATTTATATATGTAATAGAGCTAATAGCAGGCCATGTACAAGAGTGGTTCCAATTCGTCGCTCACAATTGGAATCACTGTGACGGTGAGATATATTGTGTAGGTTAAATAGGGCAGAGTTGCCCCTTTTTGTGACAAAAGAACGCATTTAAAATGTTTGCAAAATATTTGAAAATGAAGAAAAATTTCAATATCTAATCTAGTGACCTGTGGATAAATGTAAAACCTAGTGTAAAACATTTGATTTTGAAACTTTCTTGTCAATTTGTTAAAGTATAGATTGTGACAATTCATTATTTGTCTTTTTTTAGCCTCTATTTTATTCCGTAAAAATCCAATATGGCGTCCATAAGATATAGTCGGTAAAATGAATAATTTGCAAAAACCGATTAGTGCTAATCATTGCTACTGCACGTGCCGTTAGGTTTCTGGGCGATCGAAAACACTTAAAACGCCTATAACGTAGCGTCGCTCTTAGTTCATCGCGAAATCTGTAAAACAAAAAAACCACATACGTCTTAGCACAAATGTTACGTGTTAGAACGGCAACGATATATAACCTCAGGCGCAGCATTAATATAAGCGCTAATCCGTTTTTGAAAGTCATTCATTTTACCGACTATAGTAGTCTGTTGCTTCTACATCTAGCGTGTTATGGAAATTCTGATAACAGATTAGATTCTCCGAAAAAAAAGTGCCAAAAGTTGCTAAGGAGAACCATCCATTTCCGACCGTTTACGGTAGGGAAAATGAAAATGAAATTTGACATTTCCAGATTTTTTGTCGTATTTCAGCTATTTTCAAAGATTTTTCAAAAATTGCAAATGTGTTTTTTAAGCCACAACAAGAGACAACTTTGCCTCCATTTAACTTTAACATTTGTTGTGTAAACAACGTCGGGTGGCCGTTATTTAGGCCGAAATAATACTGAAGATAATAACGAGTCATATGTGAATGTTTTACTGCAAGTTAAGCACAGAATTAGTTTATTTAATCGGAATTCGTTATTTTAGTGCCTATTTTTCCATTTTAAAATTAATTTTCATTGCATAATTTCTTGTTTAAATTTTATAACTCGTGTAAATTTGTGTATTTAAATTGTAAATGTGAAAATTGGGTTGGTTAAGATTAAGGAACATCTGGTCGAGTGCATTTAAGGACGTTGATATCGCGAAGATGAATCGATTTCAATACGCACGCCTGTAGGGCGCTGGTAACAAAGGATGTAGGTGCACCATTTCTATTGTCCGTAATTTAGTGAAAGCGGGCTTTTTTTAAATAGGAAAAATAAGGAAGAGACGAGCTTGTTAGCCAAAGGCGGCTGTCTTGCCGTAGGCTGTGCACCTAGCGATGGGAAAAAGAGCGTTTCCCGCCATTGGCCTTTTGGTTATTTGAAGACGCGGTTACAGTTCTCGCAGAGGTTAATGAGGTTTGTCCGTTTACGGAAGAAAGTTACGTTGAATTTGGAAATTGTAGTGCATTATGAAACCCTTATTTTATCAACAAAAGTTAAAGTGTTTCCCGTCTGAATAGCCAACTTTTCACTTTGCACTTTTCAGATAATATTTGGGTCCGTAGAGACAATTTTGACACGTGATAACACTAAAAATATGTAAAATAGAGATTAACAACACACGAAATGCTACGTTGACTAAAATATTTTATGCAACGGATAATAATCTTGAAAAGTTGCAAGGTTACTTTATGAAATAGAACCCACCTCAAGTTTAGTGTCATAGTAAAGAAATGAAGTTTCCTGATGCTGCCAACCAGTGTTTTTGTACATTTTACATGCGCCCGAATATCGCAAAACCATTATTACAACCAGATTATGGATTACTAAAAAAACTAAGTACCTACTTTTAAGTTTTTCCTTGTAATCGAACACCTGCGTGTAGGGTAAATGTAAGAACGGGCTTGTGTCCTTTATTTCAGGTTTTTTTTCTTCTTAATTTACTGCGTACGTGTTCCGGAAAAAAATTGTTTGCCATTGTTTATTTGAATCCATTGTACAACCCAGATAAGAGTTCTCATGTTCAGATTTTCCTATTTGTGCCCCACATTTTGCTCAGGCGTTAAACAAAATTTTTGTAATCGATTGTTTGGAAGTTTCGGAAGTGGATTGATGCTATTGAGTGTCCTAAACTATTAATTTTGAGTCATTATTAGGATTTTGATTTGTGGCGAATGTTGGAGGTGTACGTTGAGAGATCATAAAAATTCTAAGTTTCAATTTTTGATTTATTTGAGCTGGCTGGACAGGTGTTTTGTGTGCGTTGTAGTTGACCGCACGCCATTGCACACAGCATTATTTATTTGGAGGCTAATGCGAGGCCGCAGCAGTATCCAAAGAGCTCTAAAGACCTGCTAAACTATCCGGACTGATATATGTATTTGAATCTTTTGATGGATGTGCCACCTCCACAACTCCTCTGCATATACTATGTCACTTTCGGGTAAACAACATTCCGAGGGGCAGGTTTCTTGGGAGAATGAAGAGTTCCCAGGAGGATTCTACATTTCTTCTACTTTATTGACATTTTAATGGAGTGATATTAACACTAGAGGGTACAGTAGCCCTCAAGGCCGTGACACAGCGACCACCTCTGAGAATAATAATATGCAGTTTAAAATATTTTATCAAAATTCAAATTCGAGTTGGGGACAGACAGCCAATGATTAAAATAAGCACCTTCATATCAGCTGTTGGGCGACCCCAGTTAGGTTATCACAAAATATTAAATCTAGGTCAGTGGGAGTCTCAAAGTTATTGTAGGGTGGGGCATTGAGATGTTCCCCCTATCTCACAAACTGGGTTACTTTCCGTGCTTTATGCGTGAATTACGATTTAATTAAGAGCTTAGTGGGGCCAGGTCTATTTATCTCCTGTGGTTAGCTTTACACATCTTAAATTATCTCAAGTACACAAGCTCAAAAATTACATTTCCATTACAATGTTCACTCTGAGAACGAGAGTAAATTTATATAGGCGGCTTGAGCATTCGTCATACGAAAATATTGACCCTACACACGGGAAGGTGTGTTGGTTGCCTATACACGCAGTGGTCCTACAAGAAAAAAAAAGATCAGGTTTGCTATACGTTTTTCCTTGTTGTTTTTGTTACACGCAGCTTCTCAAATTGATTTGTTGATTTGTAAGTCTGTAAGTCAGTGTCGAAGGTTAAGAATATAGGAAAAATTTGTGAGAGCTCTCCTCCAGAACTAAATAACACCCCGTAAATAAAGGTTGATTCAATCACCATTAATCAATTACATCAAGCTGTGATTAAGTAGAGAAAGATAACCCAATAAAATGTTATGCAAACCGTGCAAAGTTACATAAAATTTATATTTATCATAGACTTTGAAACTAAATTATTGACAACTTACTTAATACATGTATTTATTAATTAGTAACAGTTTCGAGTTCAATAACTTGAGATAACTGTATACAAAAAACTAATCAAGATAACCTTGACATTTATTGGCAACTTACCCCCTTTTCACTTTGCAAAAATCGAAGGCAATAGTTCGATACGACAGTGCCTTCTCGTTGAGGTATCTGGAATATCGGCGTATGAAAGGTGACATGTCATACCCTAAACATAAACATCGATTAAAACGGAAATAAAAAGGAGGCGCGAGATTGATTAATCAAAGTTTAAAGTAACTGTAAGCATTTAGCATTCAGCAAGACTAATAAAAAATGCTGTTAATTATCGGATGCTAGGTACTGTTAAACTCACCAAGCAAGTTTTTTTTCAATTCAAATCATTTTGTACTCGAAATTAAAATATCAAACAAATTCGGAAAACTCACCCGTTCTAGCACTCACGGCACCTCATGTAAGAAAAAATGGGTTATTAGTATTTGTAGTAGGAAATCAAGCGGAAAGCGATTATTCCAATCAAATTTAATTAACGTTAGCCAATCTAAGGTGAATTGTTTTAGGTGCGATTACCCAAAACATTTCACTTGTAAGCGTAAGCGTTACGATTTATGATGTAATTTACTCATCTCCTGAATGTTGGAAGATAAAAGTGCTGTTAGTAACATGATTTACATCCTACGATTGAGATAAGCACCGTATGACTGATAATACTATGTTAAAAACAAAAGCTGTTGGTAAACATCACAATTTAAATAATTACCTTGTACGCCACTTTTATCGAAAAAATTACTAAGTTGAAACGTGCAATTACTCGAAGCTAAATATTGTGTGAATCTCTGAAAGTGGAAGCGTTAGTGTCTTGTGGTTGTTGGTAAATGGCAAACTTAATACTTCGTTCCCGTAACACATTATGTGATGCACTGTGACGAGGGCTTTGTATACGACTATCCAATTGGTATTTTGCGATCTTTCGATGAGAAGATTTGCCATTTGAGGTATTGATACGTTTGGTTCGTTTGTACAGTGGACTAAATCTGAAAAAGAAAAATGATCTTAATATTGAAAGCTTGATTAAACAATTGAATTAATAATTTAATTAACACCCAATGAAGGAGTTCCACAAGGACTCATAGCTGGGCCTAGTTTTGTAATATATAATGTTATAATATATCTATCCCATAGGGTTGATCAGGGAACAGTTGTGTACATGCATGTAAGTACACCCTGTACGATGGTGTTCCTGAAAGATAAGTATGTTTACGCTGACATAGTTAGCCTACGCAGTTTATTTACTGAAAACTTTCAAAGGCGGTTAATCTTTTTCATCGATTAGATTAAGCATGACGAAATAGAGTCGCTCCAATAAGCCTGACTTACAGTAATAATATTGATAAATTTACTCGTAAGAAACGTATACAGCCCCTCTATCCACCTGCTTTTAGCCCTTTTGTAATTGAATCATGTCTAGTACTTACATTGTCTTTCTGTTAATTGCATTACTCTAGCTAGATTAATTCTCGGTTTGCACACAAAGGGGTCTGGAATTGGGGTTATCTAATTTACATTGTATATACATTACAATAATAACAGATGTTTATACATGTTTTTATTATATTTCGTTCCCAGGGCCGTTCCTAGACACTTGGCCGCCTGCGTGACAAAATGAAATTGCCGCCCCCTTTTTCCAACTTAATGGAAAAATCAAGTTAACTACTAATAATGCTTTATTTTATGCTATAATTTAAAAAGTAATGCACTAACAATAATCAAACATTTCATTCACAAAAAAGGTAGATATTGGGCCGTATGAATAAAAGGAAGCAAATGCTTATACTTACAAAATTCAAAGTAAATACTCATAACTGCCCCTTCATACTGGTCTGTTTAGCATGGTTTAGCAGCGCTGCACTGCGTCCTGTCCTGCTGTTCAGCAGCGCTGCTAAATCGCCCAGTGTGAAGGAGCAATTACGAGTATTTACTTTGAATTTTGCAAGTATAAGCATTTGCTTCCTTTTATTCATATGGGCCATTAAGTACAATATGCAAAAACAGAAAAAGCACAATACTAAATTTCGCTTTGCTTGCTTTAACACTAACTTGAACCACTTCCTTTAAACCAATATTGTTCACTAAATTTTGTTCTATTGCTATAATGCAAGATTGGTTAACCATTCTTGTGTCATTGACGATTGCAAATAATTTTTTATAACTTTCAATCTTTAAAAGGACCATTATCATCGTTGGAAAACTTATTTTACCGTCATTACGAATATGCAATAGGAAAAATACGGTTACGCAAAACTAACTAATTTATTTGAGCGAAATTGTGAATAATACAACAAGAATTGATAACTTTTTTTGAGTTCCATTACATTTTTATCAATTTTAGTTTATTAAAAATTGTATTACATCCTCCTTAATATAAGCTTTCCAACGATGTGTTGCAAGACCTATGTTGCCATTAAAAAAAAACAAAATGGCGGACGTGTCAAAAAAACCATACGGGACAAAAATTTCTTTTTCATGTTAGAATATGCACAAACACATCTTATTTAAGTCCTAAAACTTTGAAACCGTTCCAACCGTTTTCAGACCAGCGTTTTGGTTCCATCATTATTAGCCACTCTGTATAATCAATGGTATAATTGTATAATAATAAAGCCTTTGAGGAGCGCTTCTTCTCTTATAACCTCTAACCGCCCTTTGCTTCGCCCTATAGGTAGGAACGGCCCTGTTCGTTCCATTGTATCGGAATTTACATGTATACAGGGTAAAAAGCATGTCAAAAAAGATTGTGTCATTAAGGACCAAAAACCGTCAAGTACTACGCTACATTCACACTACAGTAGATCGGATTCCGCTTAAATTTGCAATCAGAAAGTGTGTGACTGTGATATGCAATAGAACGAAACTTTACTATGCAGTTACGCATAGTAAAGTTAATAAGGTGACCTACCTTAATCAGATGACATTGGTACAATAAAAAAACTACATGGAAAATTACATCGCCTTGGAGAGCAAAAGTAATGCATTAAGAATGGGATATGTGGAAACCAGCGATTCGCTACTCACATCGCACATGATTCAAAACTGAAGAGTTAATGTTAGCAGGATTCCACCCCTCAGATAGAGACCTGGAGCCTTGTGCGGAACCACCAGCTTAACATTGTTTTCATTGGGGTCGTCAAAAATGAATTGAACAAGTCGAAAATACATACATTAAAGCAGTTCGCTACTATGGGGAGCCATATTTCCAATGTCAAAAGCCAAAGGTTGAAAATTATTATTAAAAAATGTAAAATTATGTATATAAACAGAAACAAATCATAAAGAAATGCAATGTTTTCTTCGTTACGAGAAAGTGGAAGCGTTCGTGTTCCAGATATTGCTTTTTCCCCTTCTTCTATAAGGCCGCGCAGTATCCATCTCTGAAAAATGCGCCCATCATCGCCGGTTGCATCATATACAGGGTGAATGCCCGTTAGCATGTTTTCCAAAGTGTTTCATTTTGGAGGGGTCATAAACGTTATTTTTTCTTTCTCATTTTCCGGAAACCATAACGCATAGGAGTGTGAATGAACGACTTAGAAGTTTTTGGATACATCCTCTCTGACTTTATATATTTTCAGAAGAATTTAACCATCTACTTGGGGGGCGCAAAAAATTCTGATCTCGACTAATCCGGTCGGATCAGGGAGTCTTGCGACCGCGAAGGTACCAAACGGGACTCAGCACGTAACAGTGCATCGAACTTGCCTGGTATCTAAAACGCACCTCTCCTCGTCGTCCCCACCACGTTGAGGTAAAGTTCGGATGCCATAAGTGGAGAACTTGAAGGCGGATGGGGAAAAGCTGAAAATGTCAAATTTCGTTTTAATTTTCCGTAGCTTAAACGGTTGGAAATGGAAGGTTTTCGTTAGCATCTTCTATAGACACTTTTTTTCAGAGAATTTGAAACAGTTATCAAAATTTCCACAACACGCTAGAGAAGCTACGGGCTAGGTACTACTTTCTTATTTCTTATGGGCGCCATATTGGTTTTTACAGAATGAGATAGAAGACAGAAAAAGAAATTCATTTGAATGCATCGCCATCATAGCCATCTTGATTCTGCAAGATCTAGTTGGCCGTGGATGTTTTGTTGAGAAATGAATGTAAAACATTTCATTTTGGAATTTTTCTTGCAAATGTAGGTATATAAAATGTATAGAATGCATTATTTTTCTTTTTTGTCCTCTATCTCATTTTGTAAAAATCCAAGATGGCGCTCATAACAAACAAGAATGTAGGTAGTAGCTGGTAGCTTCTTTACCTAGCCTGTTGTGGAAATTCTGATAACTGATTCAGATTCTCCCAAAAAAAGTGTCCATAGAAGATGCTAACGAGAACCGTTAATTTCCGACCGTTTAAGCTAGGGCAAATGAAAACCAAATTTAACATTTTCAGCTTTTCAATGATATCTCAGTTATTTTCAGAAAAATTTCAAGTGTTTTTTTAGCCAGAAAAAAGAGCAACACATTTATCTTATACTGTATCTCTCACCGTTGCGGAGATCTCAATGGTGAATTTGAACCACATTCATTCATAGATTAATTTTAAAAAATTTAATATGTAAGTTCAACGTTTTTTGAAGATAACAATTTGGCTTTTTAATTCCAGAATTTTAAAATTTTAAATTACAAAATTTCAAAAGCTTCAAAACCCATTACCTTAATACCTACATATGTATATCTATCAGGATTTGAAAATCATAAAATATCTTAAAATGGCAATGTTTAAAAATATCAAAATATTTCGGAATTTAGATATTTTGAAACTGCAACATTTTAACATTTCTAATGTTCACGAGGGCAAATAAAAAAAATTGAAAACTTTAAAAGATCATATTTTAGGACATCTTGTCACGATTTAAAATTTAAACACTTCCAATATTTCATAAATTTGCCATTTTCAAATTGGGAAAACTTCGGAATCCAAAGTCCCATAATTTCAAAACTTCAAAATTACGGTGTTCCAAAATTTGCAATTCTCAAAACTTCTAAACTTCAAAACTACTCGGTTTTATAATACTTGAAAATTTCAAAAACCTCTAATTAGCAAATGTAGCTTCAATATTTGAACTGAGTGACGATAATATAGTAAGTGAACGAGAAATACACGATTATAAAATTAAATGTAAGGAAACATTTAAATTCAGAAAAGAGAAAAATATTTTTTAAAAACAGTTGGCTGTACCTGAAACGAATTTCAGGGACGCAGTGTAGCTAGCACTACGCTCCTTCTTAGACGCCTATTATCAACCCAGAGATAAGCTCCAGGCCTGGTCGGTTTAGAATTAAAAAAAAGTAATTTTCGAATTTATTTTGATAAGCATAGGGAAATTTACACATGTAGGTACCACTTCATACTGAACTTGAACAAAGATATGTAGGGCGATATCAAGATCATATCAAGAAACGTATTGCGGCAAGCGAGCGCGGTTGCCTCGATCTCTTCGGACCTAAAAGTTTCGTTTCGTTGTGGGGAAAGCCAAGACCGTGACAGAAATGCGGGCTCCCTAGTCGAGTAGTACGCGAGTCGCGATTGTTTCGTTCAGAAAATAAGCAAAATTAAAATGCCAATACAGTGGAAAAGTGTCATTATATCTCTGTGCATCAATAACCACAGGAGCGATATATTTCCATATTTCTATGAAAAACTACCTTTTTCAAAGAGAGATAAAATTAATGCGTAGCAGAAGAGAATTTTACCCAATGTCAATAACTGTAACTTATTTTAATTTGGTGGTCAGTTATGTTAGGGAATTTGCATATTGATTTGCGAGTTGATTTGGTTAAAGAATCGACCCATGAGAATGATTTGCATTTCACTTATTGACAAGGATCAGATCCAAGCAAAGGATTTGGATTATTTTGTTTCACTCATTTGTTTCATATTAGGATTTTTGCCGGTGCCGTAGAGGCCCAATTATATTTTATGCAAGTCTCCAGCCGCTGTAAATGTAACGAATCCCGTTACGCGAGAAAGCGACGAA